CAGGTTCTGTCTGTCATCTGCACCAGCCAAGACATATACCGCTGGTGGATGCAGCTGTCTGTCTGATAAGTTCTTCCCTCAGTCCTTTATCTCATGCAACCCAACGGGTGCTGTGGCCTAATCAAACCCAGTCCTCAGGCATACCAACAAGTACCGCAGCCTAGTCGGGGTGACCCCCAATAACTTCCACCAGGTCTGCACCATGCCCAGCCCCAACCCTGGCTTTTGTGCATGCCATCCTCTGTTGTGACTAGCCCAGGCCAGCTCGCAACCCATCTGGTTCTCTTGCACATTCATAGCTCAGCCTGGCCTGCCCGCAACACATGCTTACGTGTTGCTGCCTTGTCCAGCCTAGACTAGCCCTCCCCCAGCCCTGGTTCTTGTGCTCATCAGTGGGAGGTACTGGAGATTGCCCCCACAGTACTCAGCCAGTCATGGCCCTGACCTGCAACCAATCCTAGCACTTACCAGGGGTTGCTTCAACCTAGCCCAGCTTCCCTGTATGCACTGTGGCTTTCTCATGCCAGTGGTTATGGCAACCTAGCTCAGCCCAGCCCAACCTGAGTCCCGGTTTTCATGCTCACTAGAGGAGGCAGCAGCCCAGTAGAAGAATCCTGGTGGTTCCCCTTCTAGGCCTGCTCCTAGCTTTGAGTCTTGGCATGTGCCAGTGGATGCTACAGTCCAGTCTTGACATGGCTTGCTCCCAAATTGGCCTTCACCAGCAGGTGCTGTACACTGGCTCAGCCCAGCCTGCCCCCAGTCCAGCTCTCGCCAGTGGGTGCAGCAGGGTAGCCCAGCCCAATCCCAGCCCCAGCTGTCATATGAACTGGCAGGTGTTGTGGTTCAAGCTGGCTTGGCCTGCAGCCCATCCTTTTGCTTGTGCCAGTGTGTACTGTGGACTGGCTCAGCACCATCCAACCCCAGACCTGACCCACAAGTATACCTAAAGTATACCTACAGCCCAACTTGGTCTGACCTGCCTCCAGCCTCAACTCTTGCGCTCACAAGCAGGACCTGTGGCCTAGCAGGGGAGTTTTCTAAGTTCCTCTATCAGGTCTGCTCCAAGTAAAGGATTCCACATGTGCTAGCAGGTATTGTCATGCAAACTGACATGGAGGACTGCCAGTCTTGGCACTCAACAAGTGAGCACTGTGGCTTAGCCTAACTTGCCCACACACATTCTGGCTCTCACTGATGGGTGCTATGGCCTAACCTAGCCTGGCCCATGCCTCACCCAGATCTCATGTGACTTGGCAGGTGCCACAGCCTAGTCCAGGCTATACCATACCCATTCTGGTACATGCTAGGGCCAGCCCTGTCAGGCCCACCCCCAGACCCAGTCCACATGCATGCTGACGGGAGCTGCAGCCTTGCCCAGCCTGGCCTGCCCTCAGCCTCAGCTCTTGCATTCACAATTGGGAGCTACAGCCTAGCAATGGACTACCCCTGAATTCCCCCACCCCACCCCACCCTCAGGCCTGGATCTTACACATGCTGACTGGTGTTTGACCCAGCCTGGCATGGCCCACTCAATCTCAGCTCTCACTGCTGGGTGTTACAGCCTATTCCAACTGGGCACAGCCCACACCCTGTACTGTTCCTCTTCGCAGCTTCCACTAACCCACTCCATCTCGGTTCCCTTGCCTAACTTCGAGTAGAGTGGAACAATCCATGGAAGACACCAGAAGTCATTCCTCTTCTGGCAAACATGCCCTCAGCAAGCAGCTCCCACTCCAATACAACCTCGTTCCCTGCAAAATCTGCAGTTTAAGCCCAGCCTGGGATCTGGCATGGCATTGGCACAGCCCAGTGTTTCACATCTTTCTTTTTAAAGGCATACTGATATTAGCACTAATTTGGCATTAACCAGGTCCAGGATGCCCACAAGCTACTGTTTGACTTTGTACCAAGTGTTAACACTTGCTTAGGTATAAGGCAACCTAGGCAGTTTGCTACAGCTGGAGACACCAATCCTTCTTATAAGAAAATTCCCTTCTCTAAACTAATGACTAGGAATTTCAGACTTGTATCCATTTTGGGCTCTTAATTCTTCAAATCCCGTAAATCTATTCTGTCAGCTAACAGAATACTTAACTTCAAACGGCATGTACGTACACACACACACAACTGAAAATAAGGATCAGAATCTATGAAAATGAGGATTAGAGGGCAGATACAAATTAATGCACACATAACATGCAAAGCAACTACTGGTTTCTCTAATTGGCCCTAAAATCTGAGTGTTCCAATGACTAACAATTCCCTCCTCAATCTCTGCAAAAATTTCAGCAGCTTTCAGTTCTTTACATGGTAAAGTGACCCAAAGGTTTCTTTCCTATTCATCTGAATGCTGAACATTTTTTGTCATGGTGGTAGTTTTCCATTTCTACCGTCAGATATGTACAATACACAGAATAATGACACTGCAAAGATGTCCACACCCCAATCCTTACAAATGGATTATGCCATTTGTTTAAGCCCAGTAATAATCACTTTTCACTCCTAATTTCTAAACTATGAGAAAATTGTATTATAATACATTTGTGATCTTTTTTTTTAACAGAAGCAATAGGATATTAACACATGGAGTATCAAATTTTTATCTCCTTGTCTTAGCAGGGAACCTTAAAAATAATCAATTTATACCCATAAGAAACAATCAGTGAGCCACTAAAGAATTTCTTTACTTTTTTATTTGAAGTAACAAGTTAACATGTAGGTAATTAACATTCACTCATTGTGCATCCAATACTTTGCTCACAGAATGATGATTCTTCTTGACACACCTCCACCTTCTACATTTTTCAGCTTGCCCTGCATTTGGAAGTGCCACATGAGGATGTAAACTTCTATACCATTAACATTTTTTTAGCTACTAGCACATTTTCACTTTTTTCAAAACTAGCAAGTCCTTTACTCTTGCCAAAACTTACGTTCTGAAGTCTCAGAAGTAACTATTCTAAACAGGTCCAGCATGTAAAATCTTCTAAACAAAATACTTCTTCCTTACTCTAAATGCAACTCTATTCTTAACTATTCTTATTATTCTTAACTATTCTTAACTATCCTTAACTATAATTATTCCTAACTATTCTTGACTATTCTTAACTATCCTTAATTATTCTTAATCTTAACTATCCGTAACTATTACTCCTAACTATTCTTGACTATGTTTAACTATCCTTAATTATTTTTATTCTTAACTATCCATAACTATTACTAACTATTCGACTATTCTTAACTATCAGTAGCTATTAATCATCCTTAATTATAACTATACTTAATTATTCTTGACTATTCTTATTCTTAACTATCCTCAACAATAATTATTCTTAACAATTCTTGACTATTCTTAACTATCCTTGAGTATTCTTAATATTCTTAACTAACCTTAATTATTATTCTTAACTATTGTTGCCTATTCTTAACTATCCTTGAGTATTCTTATTCTTAACTATCCTTAATCTTGAGTATTAACTATTCTTATTATTCTTTACTATTCTTGACTATTAATTATTCTTAACTCTCCTTATTATTCTTAACTATTCTTAACTGCTAAAGTACTACAGAAGAATTCTCTTTGTTGTGTAATTTCTTCCACAACAGCAATTACAATCTAGAACATTCCCCCTGCTTTAATACCTAAACACCCCTCATAATATCTAAACAAGCTTCATGTCTTATTCAGAACTGCTTCTAGATGAAAAAAATTAAAGCTTTGGAGTAAAATTTCCCCTTACATGACACTAATTTCCCTATACCACTAAATAGAAATTTCGGCCTTTAAAGGTCCGAATATGATCAAAAGTTCTTCAATTGACACAGTTGTACAAAGGAGGGAACACTTAGGTTCATGAAAGTGGTCAATGAAAACCAATCCCTTTATGTGATATAATCACATTTCTTCATACCAGTCACTTATTCCTAAAAAGCGTGCAAACCACTACACAGTTACCAACTATGAGGCAAGGAAAGGCTGTATTACAGAGATGGTACATGTCTGGTATCAGAATTCCTATTCAATTCCTACAGAATTGGACTATCCAAGGACATATGCATCAAAAGTAGAACATCTACAATATATGATAATTGAGATTTCCATCTCTAAAGGTATTTAAAGGATGTACTGTTTACTCATTAAGTAACAAGTTTATCATAGTATAAAAAGAGCAGAAATAATAAAAAAAAGTAGATTAGTCTTGTAATGTTGATTTGAAAGAATTGAAAGAATTGTTCAAAGTTTCACAGACACAGTCCTGGTAAGCAGACATTCCAAAAAGCAATGAAAGTACTCTTCTTTGGAAAACTCAAAATCAACTTCTCCATCTTCAAGATTCTATCTGATGGTTGATTTTGAAGAAAAAGAAGAATTTAGCAGTCAATCTGGATACTGGACTTGATGTTCATTATCATCTAGGTATGACTAAGAAGTTTCGAAAGTTATCAACTTCACTTAATATTTCTTGCCTACTCTGGTTAGATATAGTCACAGGAACCCTGCAGTCATCTTTATGAACTCAGTTGCTCATCACTATCAGCCAAGTGAGGATTTGGTTTTAAGAATCTCACAAAGGAAAGGCATATATGAACATAAAAATACACAAAATGTGTTCTGTACTTTTACAGAATAAGAAATCAACAACAAAATATACCAGCATACGCTACACATTTCAGTAGTGATTTTTAAGCTGTATTCATTTTCAGTCCACAGTAGATTGCTGTCTGCCTACACCAAATTTCTGAGTCAGAAGCTAGATCCACAGTGGAATCCAATATTTCCATTTTCAATTAAGTTCCTCAGTGCTCCTGAGCACACTTTCAAAATGACCACAGTAGAACATGAAAACCACACTTCCAATCTAGTAGAGGAATGATCATACTTGAAGCATTCCTGTCTGAGTTATAATGGAAATTTTGCTGTATTTCTGCTTGAACTTTGATCTTTTCTTTTCTGGAAAATTTAGAGATTTCCTTCCATGGAGAGAGTGACACGGAGGAAATCAAGCAGATTTGTTTAACAGGGGGATGTCTGTTCCCCTTAGTTCTGGGGAAGGCTCTTTTGCCTCAGTGGCAGGAGGTTGGGGGGCCTCTCTTTTCAACAATTCTTCAAAGATATCATTATGCATGTAAAACAAGACATATCCAGTGCAAGCTCTAGACTTCAGCATCAGGTCCTCATGGATATTTTCCACATCCAGATCATTGTAACAGAACCAGGCTTGCTTCTCAAAGTCATAAGCATCACTGATATAATGACCTGAATCTGGGGACATCCCAACATGGCTGATAACACCAATGAGACGATAGGTGTGATCTCCTTTTGCAATATTTCTTTCTGCTTTCTGAACTTTAGATTCTGTCTTCCCACCTAAAACAGCTTGCCCAGGGTTCTTACGGGAAGCCAATTCACTTGCAGAAGTGGTACTAACCTCCTGAAAACTGCAATTGGTGTATCTTGTGTACATCTCGGTTTGCCTCCGGGTTTTTGCATGTTCAAGGATTGAAGGATGCACCAGTTGAAAGGCTTGATTACAGCATCTCAACTCATCACAATTCAGGATCCGTTTGGTCATTGTGGAGGATCCCTCTTGAATTCCATTTTTATAATCTTCATCAAAATGTCCTGAAGTCTTGGTGATACGATCAGAACCTAATTTCCCAGACATACTGGTTTTCTCATGTTTCTGTAGCTTTTGATTTTCTGGTAGTTCTTTAATACAAGGTCCAAGACATACAACTGGGTTTAAGATGTGCTTAACTCTACTGGTAAAATTCAGCGAAAGGGAGGCGTCTTTCCGAGGCTTCACTGGATCAGCTAACAATGCTTTTTCAGAAGATGTCTTGTCTTCTGAATGTACCAATTCCAATTCTACTTTATTCGATTTAGACTCTTTTCCAAGGTCTTTTTGCTTCTTTCTTCTTTTTGACGTTTTAAAAGCTCCCCCATAATTTTTAGACCCCTTGTCTGTTGTGATGTGCAAATCCAGAGACTTTTTCAGTTTTGCTGTCAAATGCTTTGAAGGTGATGAGTTGATTATTCTAGAATTAATCGTTTGAAAAATTTTTAAGATTTGTAAATCTCTAATATGTGTATGCTTGCTCAAGGGAAGAGGTGGTTTGGTGTTTTTATTGCAATAAGAAGATAACGTTAACTGCCTGGAAATAATGACTTCCTGGTCATCCTTTGTTATTGACCAATAGTCAGTAAAGCTATAGCGTTTCAGATGAACAATTAGGACTCTGGGTAGCCTACTGAATTTATGAAATGCAACGGATCCCCTGTGCTTGCACTTCTCACATTTGTAGTCAATATTCTCTGGTGCAAAGAAAAAATTCAAAGCAGACTGAATGGATACAGAAAATGCTCTCTTGCTTTGAGGAAGATTGATGGAAAGATAATTACTTGGTTCTGTCTTCATAACAAAATGGCCACACGTTTTACAGATAATAGAGCGCAACAGCTCCGATTCAAAATTGTTGGTGACAGGACAAGCAAGGAATGTACTGGCAGTGTCATCAGAAAAGGCATCCTGCGATAAATTTCCTTCCCCAGATTCATTTTTATTCATGTTCATCATGTTTAACTTCACTACGTTATCCTTAATCTCTTCTAAACAAAGGCCTAGAAACTCATGAGCATCATTTTGTAGGTCACCAGAGAATAGCTCTGAAAGTGTTGAAATCGTTTTCTTAATATTTGCAAGCAACTTCTGCTTAACTTTTACATTATAAATATCTTTCAAAATGAGCAGCTGTGCCAAGAACATGCTAAGACCATTAAGTGGAACTCTACCCCATGGGAAACGCTGATTGACTAAGTCATCAGTAAATGATGGAATTGCAAACAAGGACTGTAAAACTGCATTCATATAGCAGGTGTTTCCCAAATTGGGGAGGCCTTGCCACATTTTTGCTGGGTAAAAATTAAAGGATATCTCAAATTTATCCCAACCTGGGAAAAAGTCACTATACTTTTGTCTCAACCTAAATGCCATAAGCATTTCCTGAGTCAGACTTTCAAGAATCTCACTGCCCTTTAGGCAAAGGGCTTCAATACTGCTGGTCACAAGTGCCATTTTCTCACTCTCTGTTTTCTTCCGATTCTTTGCCCATGTCAAGTGATTTCTTGTGGATTTTCTCTTTCTTCTGGAGTTACTTTGTTTCACGTCATTCCTATTTTCATCGATCTCCAAATCAGACAGCATTCTTTTCCTCTTTCCATGTCGACTTCCCAACAAATGTTTGCAACTGAGTGTTGATTCGTTAGGTATTTTCCGTGAGATGGAGGAGCCACAAGCTGAATTCTTGGAACCCCTGCATACTGAACCTTTATTGGTTACATTCCGTATTGCTTTGCTGACACAGACACTCTTGCGTTTTTTAGCTCTCACAGGTGGTGGAAACTTGGTTTGAACTCTATCCAGATATAACTTCAATTGCTGGGCATCTGAGGAAGAAACTATTTCAATGAATATGAAGTTGTGATTTTTGAATGTCAAATGTAGGTGATATTCATCTTCTTCATAGGTTCTAAGGACCACATTTCCAATATTGCCACTTAGCTGAAAAGTTTTCGTTTCATCCTTACGAAAATAAATCACAAGTTTATGTTTTTTCCTTCCTGGCACTGTTTCAATGAATGCTTCTTTTGACTGTGACATTCCAATGTTCCTTTCCCATACTTTAACAAAACCATGTACCATCATGGAATCCATCTTTTCTTGGCAAATGAAATCTATATATACTGGATTACTGACAAGACTGAAGTTTCAATTTGGTTGTCAAGGTCACCTACAGAAACAAATACCAAAGAAACAAACCTTTAATTTTATATTGCATTATCGTGTTTCTGTTGTTGCTTTTATTTAGGTTCAATGGTATCTAGATCTCTACTGACAGAAAAATACCTTTTGAGAGCTGTCTGCAATCGAATGTAGGAGGTCTTTATTCTACAGGGAAGACCACTATGGAAAAAATGAAGAAAAAGTTATGTAAACTTACAGATAAAGGCATGGATAAAACACAGACTAGGGGTAGGTGTTGGGGTGCAATGCATTAAACCACCACTTGGATGCTCACATTCCATAATGCGATATTAGTATTAAGTCAGGCTTCTCTGTTTCCCATTCAGTCCTTATTAATGCACCTGGGAGACAGTAGATGATGACCTTAGTACTTGAGTTTTGAGTTTCAGCCACTTGTGCGAGAAACCCTGATAGAACTCCTGGCTCCTAGTTTGGCTTGACCTAGCTCTAGCTGTTGTGACCATTTGGTGAGTCAACCAGCGGACAGAACACTACCCCCTACCTCTCTCCCCTTGCCTTTCAAACACATACATCTTTTTAAAAACCTTAAAATTGTATGCTTATGCATTAAATCTGCTTTCTGTTGCAATACTGGACACCCCATTTCGAGTAATTTCTCAACTTCAACTGAAATCATGACATACCAAGAAAATTCTCAAAACATAGTTGAAACATAATATGCTAACCTTCCTGTTGCAGGATGACATCAGGAAGCAATCACAGAAGCAAATAAGGAAGTAGAAGCACTATACAACCTTCAATCCAGTAACAAATATCCTTTAGTGACTAGAGTATTGGCACCAAGGAATGTCTAGGTACTTTAGCCTTCTTTTGCAAAAGTTTAAGAAAAACATCTCTCTCTCTCTTTTTTAAATCAAATGTGAGTCTCCTGCAGATAGTTCCTGATACAGAACCCACTCAATGTGAGCTTGCTCCCTGAACTTAAAATTAGTGGGAAAGGATAAAAATATCAGATTCTGAACATTAGAAAGTTTCTGAATAGCCTTGGGGTCAATTTGAGTTAATGACTAGGTTAGCAGTTGGCATTACAAACTATTGTCCTATATGTGTCCAATAACTCGCTGGAGCTGGAGCTTCCCTTAAATAGCTGAATATTCTTGCTGAATCTTCTCTGTGCTGTTAACCTGCTCAACAAGCCCTGTCTTTCTGGATAATATTAAAGAAAACTTCACAAAAACTCAAAACTGGTCATGCAGAAAGTATTTCATCAACCTATGTTCAGTGAAATAGGTATTGCACCCATCCACATAAGAAGTACAGATGCATCCCAGTGAGAGAATGATTATGTTTATTGTGGTGGAAATGGGGCCATAAAATTCAAGTTTTTGGGTTTATATATGGTTTATCTATGGTTCAATCTCTTATAAATGTTAAGGATTTAAACTATTTCTTCTCTACAAAAAAAAGACAATGCCTTACTTTTCATTTAAGTTTCAACCACTTACACAAATATCTAAACTCATCACCCCTTATAGTTTGAATTTTTTAATACTGCAATCTCACCCCATCAGTAAGAATTATATATATAAAGTTGCCACTTCCTTCTACTGAGCTGAAATAATCCAAGATGATAATGGACCGATAAGGTAGCATGATAGCACAAATGTACAGAAAGTAGAAAAACCAGTGTGAGAAAATTCACAGGGATTCCCTGTATTTTCTAGCTATCTTTAACAATCCCAAGGAGGAGTAGTTTTGTTTTTAAACAAACAACTTCAACTCATCTTTGTAGAGTCTGAACAAGCCAATTCCACATAATAGTACAAATAAAAGGGATGGAAAAATGACCATTCAAGTTGTTGTTGAGCTCTCCATTTTGAGAATATACTAAATAAGAATACTGGATATTTTATCCAACAAGTACATGATATGGAATAAATATAGTTTAGAAACTGGTCACACACGTAAAATATGGAAGGGATGTTAGGTGACTATGCTGGGATTGGCAAATGAGAAGAGAGGATACATAAAAATGCATGGACATCCATCCATCCATCCAATATTTAAACAAATGTATAAGAAATACTAGGGAACATGTAAAGAAACACAATATACACACACTCCTAAAACTTGCATTCTGTCTGGGGGACATAAAATGTATACAGTACCAGAGGAAAATGTCAAAGAAAACAGAATGTGCCACTAGTGAAGGGGACATGCTCACTGCCTTAAATAGGATTCCTGTGACTTTATGTAGCCAGGCCTTAAGTGAAGTTGAGGGAGCAAATAGTTATGTTCAGTGTGCTCCATGCTGCAGAGTAAGAGTAAATTGAAAGATTGTAAGTTGCAAACATGTTAGAGATAGACCAATGACAGTTCAAGCAAATGGGTAAATGTTGTTGGGACAACTGGCTGACAGCCTGCAGACACAAAAAGATAGACCCACATCTATCACCATACACTAAGATCCAATCTACATGGATAAAAGACCTAAACCTACATCCAGAAACCTTCAAACTCTTGGAAGAAAATGTTGGAAATACCCTGCAAGACCTAGGAGTAGGTCCTGACTTTTTTTTTTTTAAAGATTTTTATTTTTATTATTTTTTTATTGGGAAGGCGGATATACAGAGAGGAGAGACAGAGAGGAAGATCTTCCATCCAATGATTCACTCCCCAAGTGAGCGCAACGGCCGATACTATGCCGATCCGAAGCCAGGAGCCTCTTCCGGGTCTCCCACGCGGGTGCAGGGTCCCAAAGCCTTGGGCCGTCCTCGACTGCTTTCCTGGGCCACAGGCAGGGAGCTAGAAGGGAAGCGGGGCTGCCGGGATTAGAACCGGCGCCCATGTGGGATCCTGAGCGTGCAAGGCAAGGACCTTAACCACTTGCACCACCGCGCCGGGCCCAGGTCCTGGCTTTCTAAGAAGGACACCAAAAGTAATAGCAGTTAAGAACAGAATAAACAAATGGGACCTCATCAAACTAAGAAGCTTCTGTACAACAAGGGAAACAATCAGCAAAGTAAAAAAGCAACCCACAGAATGGGAAAAGATCTTTGCACACTACACAGGTGATAGGGGGCTAATTTCCAGGATATACAAAGAACTTCAAAACAACCAAAACACCAAAACAAACCACTCAAGAAATGGGCACGGGAAGTGGGCAAACATTTCACAAAGGAACAAGCCCAAATGGCAAACAAACATGAAAAAATGCTCCAGTTCCCTGGCAATAAGGGAAATCCAAATTAAGACATCGATGAGGTACCACCTAACACCAGTAAGATTGGCCCACATAAAAAAGAACACCAACGACACTTGTTGGCGAGGATGTGGGGAAAAGGGAACCCTGCTCCACTGCTGGTGGAGCTGCAGGTTGGTACAGCCTTTATGGAAATCAGTCTGGAGAACACTCAAACAACTCAAAATCTGCATACCATACGATCCAGCAATAGCACTCCTAGGAATATATCCAAAACACCTGTTTCACAACAAATCAACATGCATCCCTATGTTCATAGCAGCACAATCAGTAATTGCAAAAACACGGAAGCAACCGAAATGCCCATCAGCAGAAGATTGGATAAGAAAGCTTTGGTTCATCTACTCCATGGAATACTACTCAGCTATTAAAAAAAACAAAATGCAGTTCTTTGTGGCTAAATGGGCCCAACTGGAAACTATAATGCTAAGGGAAATGAGCAAATCCCAAAAGGTTAGATACCACATGTTTGCCTTGATTTAACCTGTAATTTTTGTTTGGTTGTTTGTTACTTTTTGAACCTGTCATTGATACTGTCTCAATCCAGATGTTTTGAATAATTGAACTTGCATTATTTTTAACATATTGTTTACTCAATACTATGTCAATTAATTCCATAACATTGTATATCGATGCTGATGTTTTGTTGGGGCTTTTAACTGACCGGAACTTTACTCTGTTAGCTCTACCTTCAGACCAGAGAAGGTCTCCCCAAGAAGCCACTGAACTTATCTGGACAATAAGATGCTGGACTTTATGCTAGGTATATGCTTGCAATGAAGGAATCCCAACTGAACTTGAACTGTGGTTATGCAGCAAGGTGGAGGAGTCCACTATGGGGGGATGGTTGTGGGGGGGGGGGAATCCCAGTGCCTATAAAACTGTATCACATAATATAATGTTAATAACAATTAAAACAAATAAATAAAACTTAAAAAAAAGAGAGATAGAAGGCAGGCCAATGTGGCCACAAAATAGTGAGATGAATCTATGGAAAAACATCCAAGTTTTGTACAAACTAATGGACTAACAACCTTGGTAAGCTGCAACAAAAGACTGATTTAGGGTGTGGTTACTAACTTACAGCATATTTTTTTTTCTCCAGTTATATTTGTCTGCCCAGTTATCATGGTGCAAGTGTGTAATAGGCAATGCTTTGAATTCGAGGCAATATTTTGTCATTCATAAGAAAATGAGAGCTAAAATTATGGAGAAAGGAGTGATCTTACACATGGAACCAAAAAGAGTGAAATGGTGACAGAAGACAAGCATGAAATGGCATCATGTCCTGCTTCAGTGGCTATAATTTTGCTCCCTGATTCTAAGCAACTGTCAGCTCTTTGCAGACTTCCTTCTCCTATTTTCCCGCCTATTTTTTCACATTCTGTTCTATGATTCTCACTCTGGCAATTAATAGGAGTGCGGTTGGAGAGTTCATTGTTAGGAGTATGTAGACAGATTCAGAAGCAGGTATTATATTGGAGGTGGGGGTAGTTTTTAAGAAGGTGGGGATCAGAAGCAAGTACTATCGGATTGGGGGGTTAAGGAGGTGGAAGTGGACAGAGGAGGAAACACAAAATCACTTCCTTTCCCTTTCCACTCTCCTAAATCTGGGATCAACATATCCAGAGATGCATTGCCCCTAGAACATTAGCAATCAAATCCTGTCATTACGTTTGATCCCAGC